TTTTTTTTTCTTTGCTTTGTTTTGCTTTTTTGAATTTCCAGAGGACCAGACTTAACTTTTTTAGATTTTGCTACCTGGATAATTGAGCAGGCATCAGGATATCAACTAAACTTTGATCCACAAAGAGGACAGCAGAGACTTTTTACCTCCAACTTTTAGATCATCTCAACTTTTAGTCTTTTTATCCACATTATTTAAAACTTTTATGTTTATCATTAAACTGAGCAGATGTTTGTAGAACAAATCCACATCTGTCCACATGAAATAAATGAGAGGAATACAGCATTTCTAAGTTGACCTTTGACCCTGTAAACTTGTTCAGTAGTTTCCATGAGAATGTTTAATGTGATGAAGATTAAAAAGTGTCTCTAACTTGATCCAAACAGAATTCCTCCATGGCTCTAATAACTACTACTAATAATTCAAAGTGCTGATCTCCACTGACATGAAGGTAATGAACACATCTGGACTCACAGAAACTTTCTGCAGTTCCTCACAGCTGGAATCAGTCTCAGTCGTCCCTCCTTTGATGTGTTGTAATTGAACAGGTCCAACTCATCCAGAACCTCCTCTGACATCTGCAGCATGTAGGCCAGAGCTGAACACTGGATTAACGAGAGTTCGTCTAATCTATTCTCCGACTTCAGGAACTCTTGGATCTCCTGATAAACTGAGAGGTCCTTCATCTCCATCAGACACTGGAAGATGTTGATGCTTCTGTCTGGAGACACTTCATCATTGTTCATCTCCTTCAGGTTGTTGATGATCCTCTGGATGGTTTCTGGACTGGTCTCTGTCTGACCCAGCAGGCCTCCTAAGAGTCTCTGGTTGGACTCCACAGAGAGGCCATGAAGGAAGCGAACAAACAGGTCCAGGTGGCCATTTTTACTGAGGAGGGATTTCTCCATGACTCTGTTCAGGAAGTCCTCCAGAGATGAGTATCTGTACTTCTCTCCCAGAAACCTCTCCATCACCTCCATGTTCCTGGTGGTGAAACAGTGGAACATGTAGACTGCAGCCAGAAACTCCTGCATGCTCAGATGAACAAAGCAGTAGACTGGTTTCTGGAAGATCACACACTCTTTTCTGAAGATCTCAGTACAAACTCCTGAGTACACCGAGGCCTCTGTGACATCCAGACCACACTGCTCCAGGTCTTCTTGGTAGAACATGATGTTTCCTTCCTCCAGATGTTCAAACGCCAGCCTCCCCAGCTTCAGAAG